GTCTCGTGTGGGGGGAGGATCCCGGCTCAGCCGAGTGGTGCGGTGTGGGGAGGGTTCGCGTTTGGCCCCGGCGCGTTCAAAGGCTGGTGGGCGCCGCTGAGGGGCCGGCTGGGGCACGCCCTGGCTGTATTGTCGGCGAAGACGGGAGAGGGCTTGGTGGAGTCTCGCCGGGAATGGCAGCCTGAGCGTCGGGTAGACATGGAAGCATGTGAAGGGAGGGCACAGGGGAGAGGCAACTGCAGAGCTTGAAGTTGCAAGGTGGGAAGAGAGGATTGGGAATGGACACAGGGAAATAGGTGAGAAGGCCAGTGCAGTAGACCGTCAGTGGTGGCATTACGGGGGCGATGTGATGAGATTCTGCATAGAACTGGAAAATAGCGCTGACAGGATTTCTTGTTGCATCCAATATAAAAAGTAGGGAGTGAAAGGCCGTTTCAATTTATATATATATCCCTCTCTGTCTCTGTCTCTCTCTTTCTTTCCCTAACCATTTGAAAGAATGGAGCTGGGGAGTCAGTAACATGAGGCGTAGGTTTTAGAAAAATCATTGACTAAATTCTAGCAATCATTATTCTCAGGTATCTCAAATTGCAAATATCACATGGGTAGGAGGACGCAGAGGTCTTGAGTCTGAGTAAGATGGATGAATTGAAGTATCGAAATACAGTGTAGACTGGACCAGGGCATGAACTGAGAATCACATTGAGTAGGGAAGTCTTAAAGTTGTTATTTCAGATGGGCTCTGTGGCAAGGGAGTGGAAGGCTGAGACTTGGAGGGCAGACCATGAGAGAGGGTCCATAAGGCTGACACTTCCTTCAGAATGGTGCAGACCTGTCATAGGATTCTGTCCTCTGTCTGCAAAATAAGAGGCCTAAATGGGGTAAGGAGTGGGCCTGGGATGGAAACTGAGGTTTAAGGTAGTTTAGATTTTGCACCTGCAGGCTTGGCTGACCAAGGTCATTCAGGCTAGTAGAGAAGCTGGTTTCCAAGCCAGGGCACTGCTTTCTCCCCTTCTCCACATGTCAGGGTAATAGGGGATGATCTACTGCCTCTGTCAAGATTTCACAGTAAGCTCCCTTGAGAGCATTTTATGAATATAACAGGCAGGCCTGGTTGCAGAAAGGAAAGGAACAGTGACTGACTTGCCTGCTCAGCCCCTCCCTACAACTCATTAACTTAAGAATATTTGAAACACTTATTTATGTAAGCATTCACCAGTATCCTAAATATATATATAGAGGTAGGCGGTTAGAAGTGAAGTTATTCATTAAGTTAAATTGCTGCAAACACTTCATAATTGGTTTGATGTTAATTTACCTCTAAGTATCAAATTTAATTTAATTTAATTTAATTTATTTTCTTTTTGAGTTGGAGTCTTACTCTGTGGCCTAGGCTCTGGAGTGCAGTGGCATGCTCACAGCCACCACAGCCTCAACCTGCTGGGGTTAGGAAATCCTGCCTCAGCTTTCTAAGGAGGCAGGCCATCAAACCTGGACTGATTATTTATATTTTTAATTATTTTTAGAGATGAGGTCTCACCAAGTTGACCAAGCTGGTCTCAAACCCCTGGGCTCAGGCTGTCTTCTTGCCTCTGCCTCCCAGAGTGCTAGAATTAGAGGCATAAGCCACCATGCCTGGCCTTAAGTATCAGGTTTTAATATAACATTTTCTAAATCTTAAAAAACTAAAAATAGGGCTGGGCAAGGTATTGCACACTTATAATCCCAGCACTTTGGGAAACTGAGGTGAGAGGATTGCCTGAGCCCACGGGTTCTAGACCAGCTTGGGCAATTTGGCGAGACCTCATCTCTACAATAAATCAAAGAATTAGCTGGTCATGGTGGCACTACTTGGAAGGCTGAGGTGGAAGGATCGCCTGAGCCCAGCAGGTCAAGGCTGTGGTGGCTGGGAGCGTGCCACTGCCCTCCAACCTGAGTGACAGAGTGAGACAGTTGGAACTAAAAAAACAAACTAAAAATATATATGAAAATTTAAAGCCCCTACTATTTCATTTACGCTGAAAACATACAAAGCCATTAGTTCTTGGACAGTAATAGCCAGTATATAAAATGTGCTGCTAATGTTTGATATCCGTGTGAGTTGTATGAGGTGGAGCCATTCTTACCACCTACTTACAGCTGGAAACATTGAGGCTCAGGGTGGTGTTCAGTCCTTTTCTAGTCTGCTAAGAGGCAACACTAAGGTCTGAGGAGCTACTTATACAATCAGCTTGGATGAGTTTGCTCCAGGACAGGGCAGAACAGTTGGTGGTCCAGATCTGCCTGTGGGATCGTTTCATGCTTGCCTATTTCTCATGGCCTTCCTCTTTCCTCAGGGCCTCCTGGTGACAGCAGAAATGGCCCCTGCACAGGTAAGTAGAGTGTTTCCTACCTTTCAACCCTAGTTACCTACCTCCTAGATGGTTTTGGCACTCCCATATAGGCCTCCTATATAAAGAAAGGTGGTATCCTGAGACTTTTCTGTCTTACTCCCTCTCTTATGTCTGAAGACTGGGTAGTTCCACTAGGTCCAGTAAATTCCACTGAATTTAGTTCTGGGTTATATGAAGTGATTTTCATTTTTGACAGTTGATTTGGTAAGATGTGTCAGGCCATCATGGACACAAGATTCAAAATATTTCAATGCTTGGATGTGAGACTGAGCTGGGTTTTTCAGGGAACTGCAAGTCTGTTATCTTTGGTAGGAATGGGGAGCAGAGTGGGAGGTGACTAGAGGCCACCAGACATCAAGCTTGCAATGATAGCCTAGGTCCTGGATCTCTAATCTGAGAGTTGTGGGAGCTAGGGAAGATTTGAAGTAGAAGAGGGCAGTGATCAGATCCTAACTGAAAAACTTCCTCTGACTTCAGAGTTCAGGACAGACTGTAAAGGTAAAGGTAAAGGCAGGAGACCTGGGAGGATGTTCTTGCAACAGGCCAGGTAGATGATGGTGATGGCTGGAAATGAGTGGTGGTTGTGGAGGTGGGAGGAGTTTGTGGCTTTAGGATGTGTTTGAATTCAAGTTGTCCATATTTTATGATGTGGAAAATGAGGGAACTGGGAAGGGGAATCGGGGATAGCCCCATGGTTTTTGGTCTTGATTGGAAAGATAGATATGCCATCAGTTAAGATGGGAGAAATCAGCAGTATGAGGAATCTTCAGAGAGATTATGAGGAGTCAACTTAGGCCATGTCATGAATATTCTAGAGAATCCTTGTGGAGGAGTTTATGTTGTAGACATCTGCAACGTGGTGGTTGTATAGGCTGGAATGAAGCTGTATGTCAAATTTGGGAGGTGGCATTTCTAGGTTATGGTGGCAATGCCCTTAAGGGATAAGGAATGGGAATAAAGGAGTTGAGAACTGGGTCTCTCTCCTGGGCACCTTGATGGTGGTGGAGGAGTCACTAGACAGATTAGAGAGCACAGTGTTGTGGGGATAAGTATGTGTGAGATGGTGGGGTGTAGGTACTTGTATCACTAGGATGTGGTGTCTCTTCCTCATTGGGAAGGTGTAGAGGAGATTGAGTAGTAAAGGGAGGTGTTGGGAGAGAGACAGATCTTGAAGCACCAGATTTGGTCAGGAGGCAGAAAATCGGAGCAAAGAGAAAGCTTAGTCCACAGCTTCTATTATGGTTCCTGAGGGAAAAGCAAGGCAAGACAGGGTGGATGGGTTAGGTTTGGTTGGTTTGAGTAATTTCAGGATAGCAGGGACACTGGAACTGTCCCTAGTTATGTGGTATCTCTCCCTGGGTTGACTTAAGACAAGGGAAATATTGGCTTGGTATGCGCAAGTTAGATCAAGAGGTGGTTCAGAATATGAACTCAGGGTAGATGGAAACACATTTGGCTGTTAGTTTGGCCCTGTAATTGATGAGTGCCAAATACATCAATAGAAAATCGAAGTAAACACAGTTTGAAAAGAAGCTGCTCGTGTACTCAACTGTCCCAATTTTGGCAGGACCGTGTGGTCTTTGAGGACGTGGCCATTTATTTCTCCCAGGAGGAGTGGGGTCACCTTGATGAGGCTCAGAGGTTGCTGTACCGTGACGTAATGCTGGAGAATTTGGCACTTTTGTCCTCACTAGGTAAGACCCTCACACCCTTCTGGGTGTCCTGGGTTGGGCTGTTTTTCATTTTTGTTCAAGGGCAGCTCTGCCTTTCCCACAATGAATTCATGAATGCTCCTTCCTTTTCTGGTTTCTTGGCATATGTGCAGTGGGAGCCAGGGCTGGGTGCTCTCTAACCCCTTTTTCCTAGCAGCCTCATTCCTTGCTACACTGAGATTCATAGGAAAGGGCTCAGGAGTCAGAAATCTGAAATTGGTATAGAGATACCACCAGCCTTCTCTGTTCCTGCTCAGGTGGCTCTGTCCAAGTGCACAGAACTTCTGTGCTTTAGGTTGTTCTCTTGCTCTTGCCAGTATATTTTATTTCCTTCCTGTGCCTGGAATTTCAAGCACTGACCTGGTCACTAATTTGGGGGAGCACTGGATTGAGTCTGCAGGACTCTTTTATAAAATTCTTGTGTTAGTAGAGTGTGGATGTCATAGGGTGGATCTCTCTGAGTGTGTGCTGTCCACTCCCTTTCTCTTTCTTTCTTCTAGAACTGGCTTCTTCCAGGTCCCATACATTGTCATCTCAAGCAATGGGGAGGGCCTTGAGCACCTGACAGGGTTACTGTCCAGCATTGGCACTAGAGACTTAAAGGGACATGGGCATGGCACCTGGGAGTTAAGAAAAGGAGTGATATCACAGCTGGGCTCAAATGAAAGTATGGTCTGTACTTAAGGTGTCATGATGTTTGCCATTATCCTTCAATAGTCCTTGAACACCAGTTCCTCTGTCACAATCAGATCTTTCTGGGTCTGGACACAGCCTCCTATACTTACTAGTCAGCAGCACACATGATCTATTGAAAGCCATTTACAGAGAAGTGAGTTGGAGACTCCACTTCTCCTCCCTGCACTGTACCTCATTTTGCAGAGGTGTGAGTTGGATATCCCAACCGTCCTCCATACACTGTACTCTTCCCTTGTGTTCTTACACCTCAGGGCTCTTCCATTATGAGCTCCTGTCTGTCCCAGCTCTATACAGTGGGCCTTTCTCTCACTGGCCTTAAGTATTCATACCTATCCCTAATCCCATGGACATTTTCATGGACGTGTCTGATAGACATTCGTGAAGGAACTGCCTCCTCCTACCAAAGTCAGCATGTACTTTACCAGCATTTCTGTTCCTACAGGTTGTTGCCATGGAGCTGAAGATGAGGCATCTTCAGGGCAAGGTGTTTCTTTAGGTGTGTCACAGGTTATGACTTCAAAGCCCCTTCTCTCTACCCAGAAGACCCACCAGCCCTGTGAGACATGTAGCTCACTTCTGAAAGACATTCTGCACCTGGTTGATCACAGTGGAACACATGAGCAGGGTCTGTACATATGTCCGGCAAATCTTCACCAGCACCAAAAGAAGAAAATTAGAGAGAAACTGTGCCGAGGGGATGAGGAGAGACCTTCATTTGTGAAGAACCGCAGAATTCACATGGCAGGGAAGACATTCCCATGCAGTGAATGTGGGAAAGCCTTCACTCATAAATATAAACTTATTGAACATCAGAAAATCCATAGTGGTGAAAGACCTTATAAGTGCAACAAATGTGGGATATTGTTTATGGAAAAGTCCACACTCAATAGACATCAGAGAACTCACACTGGAGAAAGGCCATATGAGTGCAATGAATGTGGGAAGGCCTTTCTTTGTAAATCTCACCTTGTTCGTCACCAAACAATCCACTCTGGAGAAAGGCCTTATGAGTGCAGTGAATGTGGGAAATTGTTTATGTGGAGTTCCACACTCATTACACATCAGAGAGTTCACACTGGAAAAAGGCCTTATGGCTGTAGCGAATGTGGAAAATTCTTTAAGTGTAACTCTAACCTCTTTAGGCATTATAGAATTCATACAGGAAAAAAGTCTTATGGTTGCAGTGAATGTGGGAAATTCTTTATGGAAAGGTCCACACTCAATAGACATCAGAGAGTTCACACTGGAGAAAAGCCCTATGAGTGCAATGAATGTGGAAAATTCTTTAGCTTGAAATCTGTCCTCATCCAACACCAAAGAGTTCACACAGGAGAAAGGCCTTATGAATGTAGTGAGTGTGGGAAGGCCTTTCTTACAAAGTCCCACCTCATTTGTCACCAGACAATCCACACCGCAGCAAAGCAGTGCAGCGAATGTGGGAAATTCTTTAGGTATAGTTCCACACTTCTTAGACATCAGAAGGTTCACACTGGATAAAACTTTTATTTCTTTTATTTTTGTTTATTTATTTATTTTGAGTTGGAGTCTCACTCTGTTGCCCAGACTGGAGTGCAGTGGCTGCTCCCGGCCACCGCAGCCTCAACCTGCTGGGCTCCAGCGATCCTTCCACCTCAGCCTTCCAAGTAGCTGGAACTACAGGCTCACCCTACCACACCCGGCTAATTTTTTGATTTATTGTAGAGATGAGGTCTCGCCAAGTTGCCCAGGTGGGTCTTGAACCCGCGGGCTCAGGCAATTCACCTCGGCCTCCCAAAGCACGGGATTACAGGCTGAGCCACCAAACCCTGCAAAGTTCTTAATGCAGCGAATGTAGGAAAGCCCTCAATCGTGATGATATTCTGGTTGGCCACCAGTAGATTACACTAAAGAAATAAGTTATGAATGCAGTGAATGTGGATGATTGTAACTCATAGGTTCAGCAAACTTGGTAATTATTTTGTTTGTGCTTTTTATGTATATAGAGCCGAGGTCTCACCATGTTACCCAGGGTGGTCACAAACTCCTGGGCTAACGCAATCCTGCCCTGGCCTCCCAAGGTGCTAGGGTTACAGGATATCAGCCACCATACCTGGCCAAACGTGAGTAGTTATTTTGGTTCAACTCTTGTCTCATTAAACATTGGAGTTTACATTGAAAACCTCTGAAGTGAAAGTGGTAAAGCTTCTACTTGCAAAATTATACTTATTAGATTCCAGAATATCCACATTAGTGAAGTCTTATGAGTACAGTCAATGTGGGACATCGCCACACTCATTAGACACCATGTAGTTCACACTGGATAAAGGCCTTATAAGTACTTTGAATATAGGAGAGTCTTTTAGCCAAAATTTTCACCTCATTTGGCACCATAAAGCTCATACCAGACAAAACACTTATTCGTGCAGCACATGAAGAAAGACTTCAGCTAAAAACCTCTGATTTAGCACTGAGGACTAGTATCATATAACTTTTAAAAAAAAGGTAAAATATATGCCACATAAAGTTTGTCATTTTAACCATTTTAATGTCTTGTTCAGTACTTGAAATACATTCACATTGTGTAATGAATTTCTTGAACTCTTATCATCTTGTAAAATGAAACTCTATAACCATTAAGTAGCAACTCATTCCTGTATTCCCTCAATCCCTTGTGACAACCATTCTATTTTTAGTCTATATGAATCTGACTATTCTTGGCTTTGTAGAAGAACCTAAGGGTGCTTTTTTTGTTGTTACTTTTTTTCCACTGAGGATAATGTCCTTGAGGTTCATCCATTTTGTAGCATGTATCAGAATTTCCTTTTTAAGGCTGAGCAGTATTTCATTGTTTATATTTACCACATTTCCTTTATTTGACATCTACCCATGAACATTTAGGTTGCTATCAACTTTTGGCTATTGTGTATATTGCTGCCACAAGCATGAGTATACCCTGCTTTCAGTTCTTTTTTGGTATATTCCCAGGTATTGCTGGATCATATGGTAATTCTCATTTTAATTCTTTGAGGAACTAAGAAGTTGTTTTCCATAGCACCTGTACCTTTTACATTTCCACCAGTTAGGATTAAGAGAAATCTCTCCCTAGGCTGAGATTTCTCTTCATCCTGACCCATAGAAAATAACATTTTAAATAGATTTCTAGATGATTTTGTTGCTGCTGAGGTAGAGACCAGATTTTGAGGGCTACTGTCCTATTTCATTTTTATGACAATGCACATATTCTGTAAATAACTCCTTATTTCTATGTTTTATCCTGTAAGCCTTTTCATTTTATTGATCAGTTTTTCCCAGTGTTTACAATCAGGAAATGGCTTTGTCATCTTTATATTAAAAAAATAGAATCTTTGCAAAATGTCAATAGTTGCATACTGTAGTCCTTGTATCATCGTCTCACCCAGTCTATGTAGATATTTGTGTGTGTGATCTTGTGTGAGAATATATCTTGGTAAGAATAAATTTTAAAATATTTAAGTAGGGCCATTGCCTAGCTAGACTCTGTTGTGGTCATGTGCTCTTTGAGCTATGGCTGTCACCATGCTTCCTGGCTTTGGTCTCCTACCCCAACTTGGGGAGATGAATCTTCTCTCTCTCTCTTATTTACTTTTAAATAAATTATATTTTCTCATCTAACTTCTGTGCAATTCTTTGTATCTCTCATGCAGCATCGGGTAATATACTAGACACCCACACACTAACCTTCTTCCTATCTATGGGAAGTGATCTTTTTTCTTTTCTTTTTTTTTTGAGTTGAAATCTCACTCCGTTGCCCTGGCTGGAGTGCAGTGGCACACTCACAGCCACTGTAGCGTCGAGCTGCTGGGCTCCGGTGATCCTTCCACCTCAGCCTTCCAAGTAGCTGGAGCTATAGGAGCGTACTACCACACCAGGCTAATTTTTTGATTTGTTGTAGAGATGAGGTCTCACCAAGTTGCCCAGGGCATTCTCAAACCCCTGGGCTCAGGCAATCCTCTCACCTTGGCTTCCCAAAATGCTGGGATTACAGGCTTGAGCCACCGCACCCGGCCTGTGATCTTTTTTCTTAAAAAAAAAAAAATTTAAGTAAAGTCACAAAATATAGCAATTTATTTACCTGTGGATCTATCTTTCCAGGCAGTCAGATCCTAGCAACTTTGCTCTTATTGCTGCTTTCCACATGTGTCCCTATGGTGTACCTGCCCTTGACCATGCCTGTTAATGGGTTTTAGGCAACAAATAGATTAGTTTAGGTGCCAAAGTCTTAAAATCCATCAGGGTTTATATGACTTTGGAAATTATGCAAAATTATAAATGCTGTTATATGGAATTTAAGAAATTTGATTGTGGTTCTCCCTTTGCCTCTTCTATTGCTGTCAAAATTATAGCATCTAACTTTCCTAGAGTAATCCAGGTTCTGCACCATGTAATAAAACCATAAGCAACAAAGGGGCTTTCATGTTCTGACAATCACACTTAGCAAAAGAGTTATTTAAAATGGATTTATTAATGTAAATTTACTTACAAAGTGATAATCAATAAACACTTATGAACCATGTATCTTTCTCAAGTCTCCACTAGGGGGAAAAATACATATATATCTAGTCTCATCTCGAACAACTGGGCTCAAGCAATCCTGCCTCAGTCTCCCAAAGTTCTGGGATTACAGGCATGAGCCACTGCATCTGACCTAGACTTTTCTCTTGTTTGAATATTTACAGTGTCTTTAAAGTATATCTGTGTTATAAATATTTTTAGGGTAATTTGTTATTAATGATTTTTTTTTTTTTGAGTTGGAGTCTCACTCTGTCGCCCAGACTGTAGTGCAGTGGCCACTCCCAGCCACCGCAGCCT